CATAACCTTTCCGAAACCTTTTTTTTTCTCCCTGGAACAAAAACACGAAATCCCGAAAAAAAAGGGGCGAAACCACCCCTTGCTTGGAAACGTGGCAAGCACGACATAATCGGCACATTTCCAGAGTTACAGTTCACTGATGAACATTCTGTCATGCATGTCTTTGCTTCTCAACACTGAAACGGCGCAGGAACTCGTAGCGCGTTTCTGTGCCCTAGGTTGTTGCCTTTTTCGAGGTTTCTTTGTTAAGTGTTTTGGGGGGGGGGTGATGCATGAATCCGGGCATCAAGTGCCAGGCTATTGCTATTCACGTCACGTCTGCATGAACTTCATGTGATTTCTGCTGCCTATTGCTAATCGAGTTTGCATGAACTTGAAGTGGAAGTGGTTTCAAGAATTGCAATCTGGAGGAAGTCTCCATGTCAAACGACCAATTAATTCCAAGCTGCAAAGTCTTCCACTGTCATTCTTTTCTTCACGATCCTCTTGTCCTTCTGCAGGATGTCATCGCGGCAAAACCCTGAATTGACTCGAACATACCTGAACACAACCTTTCTGAAACCTTTTTTCCCTGAACCAAAACCACGAAATCGCGGGGAAAAAAAGAGGAGTAGAAACCACCCCTGTTCGTGAACCCGCTGGATAAAACATAAACCCTACACCCACTCGCGTGCGTCGCCTGACTTTTCAATCGATCGTCCATCCTCGGGCCACCAAGGTCCGCCCTAAAGCCTAGACACCAAACTGTTTCTACGATTGTAGAGCTTCTTAGACATGGGGACGCCTTTTTTTAGGAATGCCATAACACTGTTCCTAAACTCTGTCAGAGGCTAGATTGGGGCCCATTCAGAGCCTTGAGGCCCAGGGTTTAGAGCTTGGGGTTCATACTTCAGGGTTTAGGGTTGGATTGTGGTTTTAGGGGGCTGCAGCCTGCGAAACGGGGTACGGCTAGAGTCAGCTTTAAATGTACTCCGCCTGTCAAAGGCAACAATGTGACTTCTGCTTGCCATGATGAGGATGATTCCTGTTACGTTGTTGTTGCCTTTATGCCGCGACTATCCCCCTTGCTCTATGTATTGTCTTCATCTACACAGCATGGGTTGTTGTATCATTGCAGGTCTGGGCACCAGCAGCATCAGTCAGTCCAATACGGCTCTAAATTTTTCGGGCACACGAAGCCAAGAGTTGACACTGAACTGGTGGCTACGAAAAGCAATCAGAAGACAGACAGGTATGATGACATCCGTTGCCCCGACTGTAACTTGCTGGTACTGAGAACACACGGTTGCTGAGTTGGCCGAGCGGCCCATGGCAAAACCTCTTCACATGTCGACCAGCCAACCTCAGTTGAGCAGTGTATTGCGGTCATGGCGAAGTGTGATGCTTCGGAGGCTTCGCTTTAATCTGCACAGGGAGCTGACTATCAAACCCATAAAAGCCGGAACCTCCGAACTGGAAACCCTCCACCACAGAAAAACACCGGGCCTCTTGCGTGTATGCACCCGGCAAATTCTCCACTGCTTGCCCCAGCCTCTTACGTATTTTCAACTCAATGTCACCACCTTATAAACGCTATAGGACCCCTTTAGACCCCTCATGGGACCCTTACACGACCTACAGACTTCTGGCAATCCAACTCTTACAAAGCATCATAAGGCACACAACCCAAAAGGATCCCGGTACCAATATAGTCGCTACTTAGAACGCAAATTCTGCCCCCTTTTGGATAATCAACCTCTATATACTATACCATGACTTGGAACCCTAAACCCTAAACCCCTTGGGTAGTGATCGCCTTTCGGACCAGGCGCTGCGTTGGCTGCCTCCACGCGGAAGCGATTTGTTAAGGGATCGACATCAACGCCTCCGGACACGGACACGGTCAAGTCAAGGAGTCCCATGGGTTTAGGGATTTAGGGTTTTAGGGTTTCGGGTTTCGGGGTTTAGGGGTTTAGGGTTTAGGTTTCGGGGTTTAGGGTTTAGGAGTTTAGGGTTTAGGGTGTAGGTCCCATAAGGGCTCCAAAATGGATCCTAGAAGGGTTCTACTGTATAGAGGCCTTCATAGTTAGAAAAGGGTTTCGGGGTATATCATGCTACAATGATAATAAGGAACCTCCAAATAGTATAGGTATTCATTAAGGCCCCTATATGACCTTGAGGGTTCTGCCAGGATCTGACAAAGGTTCCATGCGGAGTTTGGGGCTGAGGTTTTTGTGTGTTTATAGGGCTCAGGCTTTAGGATATTCGGGTTTCCGCGCTTTGGCTTGAGAGGTTTGGGACTACAGTAGGGATTGGGGTGCTGGGTTTCATGTAAGGTGTGGGGGAGTAGGGCAAAGTTTAGGGTTCAGGCAGAGTACCAATCAAGTCGAGATGTCTTCAGATGCTGATCAAAGCCCCAGTAGGACGGCGAACGCCTTTAAGACTCCATATCACCACCGTGACCAGTATCGTCACCAACAAATATACGATAATATACTATAGATATACTATAATCTACTATAATTATGTGTAGCAGTAGCAGTAACAGGATCATCACTGTCGACATCTCTGCCAAGCTCATGACCAACATCACGACCATTTGATCTTTGTCCAAGAGGGTTGAAGAATTCAAGACCTGGAGCTTGTCAAAAGGAGATCCAGGGAAGCTCTGATTCAGAAACTTTGGGCCGCCCAGCCAAGAACATCCGAGCATCGCTAGTGCGATTGACTCGTCGGATCTGGGGTCTGACAGGGTGGAGGAGAGCATGGACAGAAGGAACCCTAGGGCCCTGGGGGTAAGAATGAAAGCTCTATTGCTTCAGGTGCTACTATGGGTTTAGGGTTTAGGGTTTAGGGCGTAAGGTATTTGGCTGAAAAAAGATAGAACCGCAAAAACTCGAGACTTGGCGCGAGGAACCTTGAGCCATGCTTTTGGTTGCAACCTGAGCCACGGGCGCACCTGGAAAGAAGGCCACCCAATTGCCTGGCAGTGTCTGAATTCGATGTCCGGCGCGGAAGGCAGCAAGTGCTCACATTGATGCAGCCACTGTTCCATTGAATGACGAGGGTGATGATGCTAACGGCGATGACAATGACGATGATGTTGCTGGTGTGGAGGGGCTGATGCTGCTAAAATTCTGTATCATGCAGCTGAACATGGGCACGAGGAGCAGCACACACGCTATTCAGCAGTAGCAAAAGTGAAGGTGTAAGGGCTTCCACAATCATTTCGGTCACCCAAATCCTGCCCCGTGAGAGGGACCTGTAACATCTGGCCTGCAACATGCTCCTTCTTGCATGAACCGTACTGTTTTGTCCGGTACTAAGACAACAACAGAGCGAAAACCTTACGAGTACTTCAAACCAAGATGACATGCCTGCGAAACCAATAGACCCTAAAACCCTAAGCCGGAAGGCCCAAGCCCAAAAGCCCTAAAGACCAAAACGAAAAAACCCGAGCCTGAAACCCTGCAGTCTAGATTGGTACACCCTATGAGGCCTAAAACTCTGGCACACGAAGCCAAATCCATGTGCAAATTTACCATACACTATACCCCAAACTCCACGACAATCAGTTGAAACAGTATCCCCCTTATAACCCCGATATAATCAAACTATAGTATACCCAGAAGGCCTATTATCTCATTAGTTCCCCCCCACCTTCGCTTCGCTTTGCTAAGACCTTCCGGCCGGCGCTGTGGCAAAGGGCGGAGCACACCGCCACGGGGGCGGCCGTGGGTGCAGTAACCTGTCTTGAGAGATCGATAATGGGTCACTAGAAAGGTTACATACTGAAACGGTTCTGTAGGGCCAGGGTTCAAATAGCAAGCATCTGGCAGGGAAGACTGGCAGGTACGAAGGTTTTTGCTTAGGTCTTGGGCCTTAGCCATTTCAGGGTGTTAGGGTGCTCAGAGGTTTGTTTGGGGATCAGGAATTGTCTCTATGGGTTTGGGGATTATGATGCTGCGGTCGGGTTCAATCCTGAGGAATTATCGGGCTATAGGGTCATAGTCATGATACACTAGAAGCCCAGTTCGCGATATGGTCGGCTGTCGATGTAGAACCGCAGGACGGTAACCCATTTTAGAGGCAACAGGGCTGCCAGAAGTACCGAGAAGGGAGCGGCAGCGTCCCCACCCTGCAGACAACCCGGAACAAGCCACTCCCATTGTCCGAAACCTCGAGGAAAACTGAAACCTACGCGTCTTGAAACTCTCAACTCCGTAAGCAGCAAGGGCTAGACGCTTCTCCATCAAGCAGCATGAAAAGTCAGCATTAACGCGGCAGTGCTCTTCTTGGCAGTGCCCGTCGACGGCGCGTCGACTAGTCGTTGCAGCTCAAGCCTGGTAAAGACATCATATATACACATCATTCACACATATATAAATATATAAATAAATAAATATCTATACATATATATATATAATCTGCGCGTGTGTGTGCGTGTGTGTGTGTGTGTACTTCGAGGCTTCGGAGGGTGTTGTATATCCGGACAACATGCTCTGAACTCAGACGTCGACTGCTGCCTTCCATCGTAGACACAGAACCAGGGGCCAACGTACGCAAAGGGAGAACTCGTCGGTCGATGGTATGGACGGCTCAGGTGGCAGATGATTGGAAAACCCGTTCTCTATAAGCTTGTTTGATACGTGAAAGATCCGTTTTGGAATAACGATTCCGTGGATATGTGCCCAAGAGATGTTGCATGGAACTCGACTTTCAACAGCCCCACTGTAGTCGAAAGACATGTCTGCAAAGATGAACCCAGGCCACCCAAAGTGAAGCTGTGAACCTTCCAAACATCCAGCTTTAAACTCTTCCCCCCCCCCCACCCCCGAAACCCCGCTCCCTGTTGCAAGGGGCTGGGAGATGGTTGCCGGAGTGGGCATGCTCCAAACCCTCGGCTGAGATGCTTTTAGTGTTTAGTTCCGGGTTGTTAGAGTTTAGGGTAGACTTCAGGGCACTACTGTAGGCGTTTATAGTTTAAGGGCTAGTGTTTGGGAGTGCTTGCGAAAGATTGCTAGAGATTGGAACTGCTAACATGCTAAGGTAGGAGCCTAAACTGCTCTAATTATGCGCAGTAGATTCTATTTGAGAACAGGCTTGGTTCCGGGTTTCGGGCCATTTTTATCATCACACCGACTAACCCTAAACCAAAACCCTAAACCCTGAACCCTAAACCCTAAACCCTGAACCCTAAAGACCCTAAACCCTAAACCGTCAAAACCCTCCAAAAACTTGTCCATTGCTCTGGGATATCTCAGCACCTGGCCCTTAAGGACTAGGGCTTCTTGGGGTTTATGCTGCTTCTTGGCAGTCCAGAATGTTTCGTAAACAAAGTCCTCAGTTTTTCTGCATGACCTACAAAATTGGAGCGACAAGCGCCAAGTCTGTGGCAAATGATTTCCAAGAAGTCAAAACGCTTCTATTTGTCCATTTTGTCTTCCAGGCCGCTGGTGCCTGTATGGCCAGCATGACGGTTATCGGAAGCATGAGCATGAGTGTGCATGCTCGCAGCATGCGCTTATCCGCCAGCCCAGCCCTAGCATCCAACTTCGTGTGCCGAGCATCAGTGCTTCGGACCACTCAGAGCTTCCAGATGCATTCTGCGCCTTCACGCGAAACATGTACTCCTGAGAACCGGAATGAGACTGGAAGTAAGGGGCGCTTGTCGAGTTTTTTCAGGGTTTTGGGCCTGGGGTTTGCAGCTCAAGGCTTAGAGACCCAGCTTGCGCTGTCGCTTCCAGGAGGCAGGAGTCAGGAAGCTGGACAGGAAGAGGTTTCTAATTGGTGAGTCTTCGGAGAAACAGAAAACAAATTCCCGAGCAGGTCCTAGCATGAGACCCCCTGGAATCCAAAAAGCACGCAGCCATCCAGCCCACTAATTGGTTCACCCGCCTTTGACGAGCCTCCTGAATTGACTTCGACTCAGAAAACCTACCCATATAGGCTCCTAAGTAGTTCCTTTTTTGTGGTTTATATTTAGAATCCTATAAGGTAGTCCCAAAAAGGAACTACTAAGGAGCCTATGGGTAAAGATCATAAGCTCTGCTTTCCGAAATACGTCCTTCGCTGGCTCCAGCGAGAGTACGACCTGCGTCCAAAGATTGCGGCCAGCTCGCTGCGGCCGTGGTCCTCGCGCTTGATATGGGTAGTTCTCTAAATGAGGGTCCCCTCTTTAGGTCCCCAATGAATATAGTACGGCACCCTTATAAAACGGACCCGAAAAGGGACCCTATATTTTAGAAAACAAACCATATACGGGCCTTACTAAATAGATTAGGGCTCCTTCAAAGCATCCTTTCAGGGTTCCCACCGGGATCTAAAAGGGTTGAAAAATCGTACTAGTAGCTGTTCAGGCGCACTACTTTACGGTTGCAAATCGAAGATAACACAGTTCCCCGCTAGCCAAGTCTTGTAGCGGGTCCTTTTTGGTAAAACTAGTGTCGTGTTTAGAGGAGCCGTATACCAACGGTCCGACTATGTTGGGACCAAGTTGGGGGCCCCTATGTTCTGAAAACTTCCGTGCGACAACAACGACAACAACCACCACCTCCAACAACAACAAACCAAAAAAAAACAACGGTCATGCTATCGACAACGGCAGTACAGATGAGAAAGGGTACGTCCAGTAGTAGTAATGGAAGTTGAAAAACGAATGTTGCAGCCGTAGTGTATAGTAACAAAACCCATCATAATTGACTGTAGTACCCATGATCAGAAACAGCACGAGCAGTACGTGCGCGTAGTACGGCGTAGACTCCAAGGCCTAATCATGGAGCCTTTCCTACCCCTATTCAGGGGCCTCAAGGCTTAGAAGTAATGACCTGGTATAGGTTCTCGCCTTTCAAGCATGAAAGCCATAACGAAGCAGCTCGGGGATACGATTACTCAGTATTAGCGGCTTCAGCGATTTTGGTGCCCTCGGCACATCCTGCGACGGGCTGCCAGGCACCAAACATGGACCTTCGGGATTACAGTTGGGGCTTAGGGCGTTATGGTTTCGGGGGTAGGGCTCGGGGTTTTGGGTCTTAAGCTTCGATGCTGTTCTTCCTATAGGTGGCCCTCGAGCATGGCGACATCTGCACTGACGAAGGGCAGTAGTGGTGATAAGGATGGCACGAGTAACAATAACAAGAAAAACGACCCTCGTGTTGTCATGGTTGGGGGGTGATGGTGGTGTTCCTGCACAGATAAAGATGAAGAACAAGTAGAAGTTGAACAGTAAGAGACGACACAAGGGCGTTCACAGCACTGGCTGAAGTACGTAAGAACGGCACTCGTAGGAGCAAGTAACAAGAAGTGGTAAGAAAGTGTTTGCAGCAGCAGCAACACAGCAGCGGTAGAAGCAGCAGCTGCTGCTGCTGCTGCTACTGCTGCTACTACTACTACTACTACCACCACCACCACCACCACCACTACCACGACCACGACCACGACCACGACCACTACCACTACCAGTACCAGTACGACTGCTGCTGCTGCTGCTAGTACTACTACTACTACTACTACTACGACTACGACTACGACTACGACTACGACTACGACTACGACGACTACTACTGCTACTCCTACTACTACTACTACTACTACTACTACTACTACTCTACCACTACCAGTACCACTGCGACGACGACTACTACTACTGCTGTTCGTACGAACAACTACTACCAACAGCTGCTGCAAGTACAAGTTCTAGAACCTACTTCTGCCCTAAACCCTATGCCCCTAAGCCGCTCCCTAATCTTCGAAACCCTAAACCCCTGAACCCTAAACGGCCCGAACCCCCAACAAAATCCCCTGTAGACCCTAAACCCCTAAATCCTAATAAACCCTAGACCCTAAAGACCCCCCTAAAAATCCTATATAAACCCTAAAGACCCTAAACCCCTAAACCCTAAAATCCGAAAGTCCTGAACCCTAAAATCCTAAACCCCTAAGCCTAAACCCTAAAATCTCCGGGGCCCGGTCTGAGCCGCCACCTCGCAGGAAGCTCCCGAGACCGGCGCGCCAGAGGGGTCCGGCACGCGCCAGCGGAGCCTTTTTTCGGGCGCTTAGGGGCAGTTTAGGGTTGAGGGGTTTTAGGGTTTAGGGTTTAGGGCTTAGGGTTTAGGGGTTAGGGTTTAGGGGCTTAGGCTCTACAGGAGTTCCGGGTGTTGTTGCTTGGCTTTCCCGGTTTCTCCTCGTCTCTGCCTTCTTTTGTGTGCTTGTACATCCATCCCCCCTCCAAAAACAAACAAACACACACGCTCACTCACACTCACACACACACACACAAAACCGCACCCTCTCTCTCTCTCTCTCTCTCTCTCTCTCACACCCACACACGCGCGCGCACACCACACTGCAAATCCTCTCATCCCAACCCAGAGACCTTGAAGACTCCGCTTAAAGGGCCTTGCGTGGTTCGGCCCGAGGAGGTCGAGAGAAAGCTTCGTCGGGGGCTGCGGCTTCGGGCTGGTTCGGCAGTCCAGCCTCGGGCTTTGGAGTTAGGGCTTTGGGGTTTAATGGCTTGGGGCTTAGGGTTTAGGGCTTTGGGGTTTATGGATTAGGGTTTAGGGCTTTGGGGTTTATGGCTTAGGGTTTAGGGTTTAGGTTTGGGGTTGAGGAGGATTCAAGCAGTTAGGGTTCTTCAAGTGGTCGGCAGTGCTTTCTAAGGCTGTATGCTTAGGATCTTTAGGGTTTCGCCTCGAGTTTAGCGATTCATGCTCAGGGTTCCGGGGCTTTAGGGTTTAGGGTTTAGGCTCTCGGGTTTAGGGGTCTGTTCGGATCTAGAGTTCAGATGTAGCATTGCACATTGCAAACCATAAGGTTTCACGGTCTACGATGAGGCTGTCATAGTCGGGGTTGAAGGCTTCATATCTCGGGCTTCAGGTTTACAGGATCACAGGAAAATAAAGGTTACGACCCTAAACCCTAAACCCTGGATTGGTTTGGGGGTTATGCAAGTTTCCTTTTTAAGGGCCTGGGTCTCTCATGCAGGGGTTAGGGTGACGGGTGTTGACAGACCTGGACCTTGTTGAACACCGAGTGAACGACAATGTCTTGAATATCTCGAAAGTGACGGAGTCGACATAAAGACGTAGTGCTGTTCCGTTTGTTTATCTGTAAGGGGCCAGCACTCCTGGAGATTGCACAAGAGATTTGATGACGTCATAGAACCCTTACAGCAACCCTGAACAACCCTATAAAAACTCTGAACCCTAAACCCTTGCAGAAACATTTGTAGATGCCTTCATGTGGCTCCGCCGAGATCCCGTAGACTTACATAACCAGCGACGTAGACTCGACACCCCCACCCCTGTAGAAACATGGGGCCCTAAACCGAAAAAAGACTAAAGCTTAAAGCCTAAACCAAAACCGTAAGCCCTAAATTTAAAGCACCCTAGAAAAATACCTTTGGCCTGTAGCCAGGTGTCGCAGGCGAAGGGACAAGGCTGCGGCCGACTTTGTTCCTCATGGCTGGTACCACAGGATTTGGGGCTTGGGCGGGGCATTGTAAGCCTGAACCAATCAATCTTAATACTTAAGCCCTAAACACCTCGATAACCCTAGCCCTAAACCCTATCTGGGCAGGCAGCAGGAGAAGTGCCTCAAGCGAGCCTTGTGGTGAAGGTGTCGGCTTCAGGGTTTTGAGGCAGGTTTTAGCCCTAAGGTCTCCGGGGTTAAGATTTAGGGTTTAGGGTTTAGGGTAGTTTAGGGTTTAGGGTTTAGGATTTAGGGTGTCTTTAATCCTGACAACTTGAAGCCGCCAAACAGATGCTTTGAGGACGGCTCTGCCCTAGACCCTTTACTAAACCCCAAATCCCAAAACCCTAATCCCGAAACCCTGGACCCTAAACCCCAAACCTCAATCTCTGAATTCTAAGCCTAAACCCCGACAGCCCCCTCAGAAGTGGTCTTGCAGATCCCTTAAGGGCCCTTAAGGGCACCAACCCTTCAAAAAGTGCTGCCAGAGGGGCTCGGGCCATACTCGGAAGGCGTAGGCGGAGTCTCCTTCAACTTTTGGCTATATATGCTTCATTTTAGATGGTTTAGGGTAAGGGTTATAGGCATCATTTAAGGGTTCCTTCAACAGTCTCTTTAAAGCTTCCCTTAAACAGGATCCTTTAAGTGCTTCAGGGATCCTTTGAGTCATCCTTCAAAGAGTTCCTTGAAGGGCGACCCCTTTACGTTTAGGGATCCCTTTTTAGGGATCCCTATCAGGGATCCATTTTCAGGGATCCCTTCAAGGGATCCCCTTTTTAGGGATCCCTTTTTAGGGCTCCCTTTTTGCGCGATCCCTCTTTAGGGATTCCTTTTTAGGGATTCGTGAAAGGAGCCCTGTTCTTCCATCGTCGGCGGAGTCTCCTTCGAGGCCTTGCAGGCGAACCCGAGCCCGGAGGATCCTCGGCTACAGGGCTTTTAGGGCGCAGGTTAGGGCTTTTTGGGGCGTAGGGCTTAGGGCTTTTAGGGCTTAGGGCTTAGGGTTTTTAGGGGCAGTTTGGGTTTGGGGTTTAGGGGCAGTTTAGAGTTTAGGTTTTAGGGGCAGTTTAGGGCTTAGGGCTTGGGGGCAGTTTAGGGTTTAGGGTTTAGGGCTGAGGAGTTCAGGGTGCAGGGTATTGAGGAATTTTCTGGGGCGTGGGGCCTGCAGGGCTTATGATGAAGGGGGTTATAGGGAGTTCAGGGTTTAGCGCTTGGAGGAAGTCGCGGTAGAGCAATTCCGATTTCAGACAGAGCTCGGGCGTAGGGTGTAGTGTAGAGACCTTAACTCGAATGGGGTCTTGGGTATAGTTGGCAGAACTGAGACATGGAATGCTAAAACCCCTGCGCCCGGAAGCCCTGAACTCTGAAAACCTCTGGCGCTTTGCACGTCTCAAGTCCGAGGTGCGCTGGGCCACCTCCCTCTCCGTCTGCCGTCACTGCCTTGCGTTAATCAAGACTTTAATCAACACTTTTATTGTTACTTTTCGCCAAGGTTTTATAAGAGTTCTAATTGCCGCTCTACCAGGCCTTACAAGCAGAAAGCTGACAAAGTTTTACTCAGAAGTTGAAAACAAAGGATCCTAAAACACCAGAGTATACATTTGGGGTGCTGATGATAAGGCACCCTGCGCTAACAATCCCTCATGCAGGAAGCAGCAAGGCAGTGGAGGCTTGGCGCAGATAAGTCATCACATCTCCCGGGGCCCGATACAAAGCCGACGCCAGAAAAGCAAGAAAGCACGTTTGAGTTTAAATCCGAAAATCCAATCCTGAACCCCCGGACATTGATGACCCCCAACATCAACACCCAACCCCTCCAGCCCCAAACCCCAAAACGCCCAAACCCGGAAGCCTCAATTACAAGACCCTGAAACCCTGCACCAACCCTTACCCCCCCCCCTCCCCTCAACCCTCAACCCTCAACCC